TACGAACGCCCTATCCGTCGTGTCGTCACCAAGCTCACAAAATCCCTCAACCATACTCTCGCCATCTGCCACAAGTGTATACACAAGAGGTATAAAAAATAAAAAAATAATCTTCTAGATTTTTCTTGAGCTGATTTTTGTTGGCTTCTTTAAATATTTAAACCCAATTTTGAAAATGGGACTATAAATTTATATTTACCTTCAATTTCTAGTAATGGTCCGATTTTACGTTGGGTGTGGTCTCGTATAGCTGCCGTGAAAATGGCTTTTCTTTTTCAGATCTCGTTTGACATCCATTATTTGCTTCTCCTCCCCCCTCCCCCCCATATTTCGCTTCAAATTTTGGGATTGCTGTTGGATGAAATGTAAATAGATCTGTTCAATGTTTAGATCTATTTCAAATGCTCAAATTGTAATGGTTAGATTTCGGGAAAGGCAACTGTAGTTTTAGATTTTGAAGGTGGGGGTGGGGGGTTTTGGAGAAGATGATGAAGTTTATTTTTTTATTTTGCTTTTTATTTAATTATTTTATTATAAGAATATAAATGGACCATTTTACCTCTCATTTCATTTGTCAATTTGAGTCAAAAATCTAATTCCAGTGTTGACTAACGAAAATCTGGACGGAATGTGTGCAATGGACTCCATTTGCAATTAAAGTAAAAGGTTTGGGACTTCGGCCGTAAAAATGAGAGGTTAAGGTATATTCTGCAACAAAATGAAAGGTTTGAGACCTCTGTTGCAATTTTTCCTAAAATTAATTATACCTTCCCATCTAATGAAAACTAGTAACCATAATTCCACATATTTTAATTTTCATCTCGTTTCTCAAATTCATGGTTTCATGTGAGTTTTCCATCCATATGATCATTCCCACTAAAAATACATAATCAAGAATCCCAAATAAAAATCTAGGGTTTGCCAATAATGGTATTACTTGCCATGATGAAATTGGAGATTAAATAATCAACAAACTTGAGCTCCAATTTATAACCTTGTCCTCTTAAATCTGAAATTTATACCACAAGTTAAAACCCTACAAATTTAACATAAAATCACTGCTTTACCTCTTGAAGAAAATATAGAGAAAGAAAAAATGGAAATAGACCTTGAACTACCTCTTTCCTTTCTTCTTCTTCTTCCTTTTTCTTCTTTTCTTCCCTCTTTTCTTTCCATTTTTCTTTCTGCCGATTTCTTCTTCTTCTCTGCCGGTTATTTTTCTTGCTTCTTTTGTGTGTGTGTGTGATTTTAGAAAAAAAAAAGAAATGGGTCAAAGGCATTTAAATTCCACTAACTCCAATTTGCAAGAAAAATCCCTCTTCTCTAATATGAGCTAACATTTAAATTCTAAACTTCCCAAAAATATATAAGTAAATTTTCAACTTCAAATTGTATCAAATTTGACCATTATATATTGCTAATTGTAAAATAAACCCCAATAAAAGATTTTAGTCAATTCAAGTTCTAATAAAATCATTTATATTATTTAAGTCCTTAATTGATTTTAACCTTGACTAGTCAACATTTTAATTTTTGACTATGAAATTTGAGTTGTAACAGAACTCTTCGGAAAATCATCATTTTCATTTTGTTTGGTGCAATCAATTTCATGATGGGTTTCTTCAACCATCAACCTGAAATAGCCATTTTTTTGGGGAATTTTTCAATCCAGGTCTCTTCAACCCGTTTGCTAGAAGTAACCATTTTCATGGTTAAAAAAAAAAAAAAAAAAAAATTGTTATTTTTTTCAAGGAAAGTTTCCAATTGCTTCAGTAGCTATTTTGGTAAAGGAAACTGCCCGAAAAGCTTATCTTTTCTAGTGGCTTTTTGGAATGCAGTGAGAAACATGGTTATTGTACCGTTCCCATGGACGACGTCAATTTGTTGACCCCAAAAAATGCGCCAACAAAATCCCAACTTGCCCCCTTCACGCGTGCATCACCAGCACACTAGAACACCCCATTGGAAGCAAAAGACCATCGGTCAAGAAAAATGTTCAGCAATTGTTTGCACTCCGACGATCAAACCAGCGGCCAGGCAAAATATGAAGAGAGTGCAAGAGACATGAGAGAGAGTTTGGTTAGGGTTGAAAACATACCTTGGAATGAAATGGATCACATATATATAGAAAAATATAAATGGGCCAAGTGGTTTAGTGAGATGGGTCGAGCTCCAAGCCCAATATGCAAGTGTTTATTTAAATGAGTTTAATAACTTAAATAGTCGATACCACGTCGGCCAATGTAGGACCCCTTCGGTCAAGCACATGCCACATAATTTATGGATATAACAGATAATCTTCAAAAATCTTGCACAATGCCCTTGATGTTGATGATCTAGCCTCGTTCTTCACCTCCAAAATAAATGAAATTTAGATATTTTTAGGTTTTTGGGAGGTCTCCCATGTTTTGGACGGATTATGGTATTTAAAGGATGCCCAAAAGATTGTTACCAAAGTAGAGTTTCAACTGAAAAGGAAAGAAAATCTCGCCTCGAAAAAGTACTATGTGGTAGCATAGTACAAATGGAAGCGGCCGGATAGAAAAAAATCATAACTAGTCCCGAGAGCTTTAGATGCATAGATACGGTCGCATCTAATTAAACATATGCGGTCGCATATGTATATTTTTTTCCTGCCAGTCAGCCTTCATTGTTTTTTCTAACTTTCTCTCACGATATCCGGTTAAAGTGATTCAAAGTGCGTTGAAAATATAACTCAAATGGATACAATTCTTTCATTTATATCATTTTCCAAATCTTACGTTTATTTTGCCAAAAATGGGTTTAAAACAAAGACTAAAAATCTGAAACATAACTTTTTAATCTGAAAGTTGATATGTGATAATACTTTGATTATATTTCATTATTTTGACTTCTTTCCTCGTTCAATTGACCTCCAACACTCTTGAATCTTTATCGTAAGGCTCGACAAAACTTTTGAATATTTTAACTTTAGTCCTCGAACTTTGAATTTGCCTAATTTCAACCCTTCCTCTTATAATCTTATTCTTTATTTTTCAATTATATCCAATTATATCCTTGGCATTTTCGATCTTTATTCAGTCGTTGCCCACATCCATGGATTGTTTGCAATTTAGTCCTCAAATTTCAGATTTCACCATTTTTTTCACTATTTTTGCATTATATTCTTCAATTCTTTATCAAACATCGAGTTTTACATATAAAATGCAATATAACACAAATTAAGTAGTATTTTATCCAAAGAATGGTAAAATATCATCATTTAGGATGTCAAATAAGTGTAGAAACTATACTTATCAATTACGATCGATTTTCATTTTAGTAAATTCATACAAAAATAATTATAAATCACTTTGAAACATAGTAAACAATTAACGCTTAATCATGCAGCTGATTCTTTCTGCAGCAAAAGCTTTAAAAATCACAGTAAAATCATACTTAGTTTAAGTTTAGTGCATGTTAGATGGGTCGAAAACTTTAATTTATTAATAAGCTGATCTTAAAATATATTTTTATGTTATTTTATTAAAGGTAGAAATAAACAACTTATTTTTATTTTAACGGTAACAAGTTAACTCGAAAATTAATATTTTCAGTTTATGAATAAAAAATCATTCCTACGTATTTAGGAGCAAAATTTATATCTTTAGTTGACATTGAGCTCCTTAAATTTTCATTATTAGGCTAAATAGCGTTTTTGTTTTGTTTTGTTTTTTTGTTTTTTTGTTTTTTTTGCCACGATTGCCTCCCAAACCATCATTAAACTAAGTCTATATTTAGCTCATGTTTATAAATTATTTTATAAATACTTAAATTACTTTTATACATATATTTGAAAGATTCATAGATATTGCACACTTGTCCACCACTCGTTTTTATTTATTTATAATTTAAATCGCTTATAAACTGAACATGACTTAGACAAGAGTGAAAATTTGACCGCAATAAAAAACCCATTATTCCTTATCACTCAATTTCAATTGTATATAAAGTTGTCATATTTAAGTTTTTTGTACATATTTTCTTGTATGATTTCGTTTTTATACCCTCATCTTCTCTCTTAAAATGTGAAAATGAAGTAATGAAGGACATCCAATTTATTCATTTCATACACGTAAAATATTTTTTTCCCCTGATACATGGGAAGAAAAGAAAGTATAAAATAATTCTACGTATAGAACTTTTCGTGCACATGTAGTGTACAAAATACACAAACTTGTTGGGAAACTATGTCCTAAACATAATTATTAATTAACCTTGACTTTATTTATCAAATGCATTTGATTTTTTGTAAGTTTGAGAATTGATGAAGTTTAGATAAAAGTTGATGTGTTTTGTTTGGTCAAGTTAGTGGTCCATGTTGAGTCAGTACGTTCGTGCACTAATTTTAGCACATTTCGTGTTTGACATGACTTTTGAAAAGTATAGATTCTTGAGTTTCTTTGTCCATCGTTTTTAATCCTCAACATTAAAATAGATTTTATGGTATTAGAAATATTCTTGGGTTGATTATTACTTCTCTTTTGTGTTCTTAAAATAATGTTGAGACTTGCCTTATTTCCTTACAAAAGAGTTTTGGTTTATATATTAGCTCATGAACAATTGTAGGGTTGCCAGAAGATCAAGATCGTATGTTCGATCCCATTCCTCAACAAACCAAGAGAGCTAAAACAAGAAAATTTTCAATTGAATATATATATATATTATTTATTTATTTATTATTATTATTTTTTTTAAGTTTAGTTATGGTTCTAAATTATTTTTTCATAAAGTGGTCAATAAATAATTGTAATTTGAGAACACATTATGTTTCCATGATTTTTCTTTAGTGGATTATTTAAGCACGAAATGAGGTTCGTGTATGTATCCTTTTCAGAATTTACCACGTTATATCGTGTATCTTGTCTTTGAGTTAATTACATATTTATGTTGCGCGGGTCTTATCTAATTATATTGAGACACATCCACTCCAAGGTATATTACTCGTCCTTTCCATGTAAAAGAAATTGACAACCATAGACTTTAACCAGCAATATAAAATTCAAAACTTCGCTCAAGATACAAGAAACTGCAATAGCAACACTCAAAGGTGATCTTAAGAAAATAACATAATTCTATCACAAAATAAACCAAAACAGAATCATGCATCCCATTTTTCTCAATCAAATGATCTGCTGTTCAGATTTTCAAATTTCAGATGTTACTGACCATTTAAGAATCCACAACGCAGAGTCAAAGGTCTAAAGGTTCAACGGCAGTCTTGAATAGAAGAATATAGACATTATCCATCGAGAAATACAAAAATCCTCCCACGGAATGTGTGACATATGAGCCGAAGCTCTTTCCCACAATGCAATGCCAAGCTGGACCATACGTTGAGTCGAATTCCTGGAAAGGCAAATAGAAGTTTGTTGTAAGCCATCCATTCATTGTACATCAAGCACAAAAGTATATTCATAGAGAACAGAAACCGAGTCCAAAACAAAGAGATGGCAAGAAATAGTAATTTCACTAACTGTATCTGATAGCTAATTACGATTTTTCGCTTTAAGTAAAGTGTTGATTCAGGAATAATACATTTAAAGAATACATCATTTATGGCATTTTGATAGGGAAATACTATTTATATTTAGTTCTATCCTCTCTGTTCAGAGGAGATCACAATTTTCTCACAGCATACCATGGTAAACTAACAAAATTGCTGCAATTGATGAGTCGAAGTTTGACCACATAAAAGGCAAATGCAAAACCCAACCTAAATTGACTATGATATACCTGAGACGTTCAAGCGAATTTTGAAGTCCAAAATCAGAATAATGATATTCATCGTATCATCACCGCTCTAGTTGGCAGTGGTCCCCTTCATTCATTGTCCAGTGCATTAAAAAGCATCACAACTCTATTGAACAATAAATTATGAGACCCACTACCACTTAGACTCGTGTTAACAATGGATAGCATTACTCATAAAATTAAGACTCACAGATGAGTTAATGGGGTCGTATTTCTTGACCTCTTATAGCTAGGAGCTAAGGCCTCAGCCATGTAAAAATGAACTAGGAACAGAACAGAGGAAAGGAAGTTTGAACCAACTAACAGGAGTTAACGTCGTTCAGTTTGCCATCAATGCTAAAATCCAAAATCTGTAGTACATTAGAAATGTAAAGATTTGCTGCTCAGACACTACTTTATTTCTCCCAGTGGGACGGTAAGTGTTTGTTGATACCTGCAATATTATTTGGAAAGGGCTAATCTCTATACGTACAGACTTATGATCCACGTCTTAGGTATATGAGGAAGGTTTTTTCTACAATTCGCTAACTTAAATATACATTGTAAGACTCCTAGAGAACTCTCCTCACCTTTTTACTATTGCTTTTAGGGACTAACTTTGAAGAAAATGAAACCTGGATTTTTGGATCCAGAGCGTCTTAATCCTATCCTAAAAATCAAAATAAGGGGTATAGATTATTATTATTAAAGCAACATTAAAGGACATCATATCCCAGACGCTGAAGTGACCATTGTTTACAGTCGAAAAGAGGAGGACAACAATTCTAGGCGAAATATGAGAAAATTTACAGCTCAAATAAGGGATAAAAAGTAGCAGGCAACCTCAAAAAAAGCGGATCAGTAATTTTTGCACCTAATTTGTCCTCTGAAAATTAGGCGTTTTCTGCCATTCTTATTAAAGAGAATAGGGAATAGGGAGCTAAAGCAACCTATTGCACCAAGATGAAGGTGAAGATCCAGATCCAGTACTGGCTGAAATAAACTGACATGCGATAGATATTTTGCCGGGATGCTCTAGGTTTGATGGCTAAATGTAGATGATTCTGATAGCAAACTAGAAAAAATCATGCCCGGTTAAATTGTAATTAAATGACAGAAGAAGAATGGATATATGTTACACAGACAAACTTAGCAGCTCAAATAAGGGATAAAAAATAGCAGGCAACCTCAAAAAAAGCGGATCAGTAATTTTTGCATCTAATTTGTCCTCTGAAAATTAGGCTTTTTCTGCCATTCTTATTAAAGAGAATAGGGAATAGGGAGCTAAAGCAACCAATTGCACCAAGATGAAGGTGAAGATCCAGATCCAGTACTGGCTGAAATAAACTGACATGCGATAGATATTTTGCCGGGATGCTCTAGGTTTGATGGCTAAATGTAGATGATTCTGATAGCAAACTAGAAAAAATCATGCCCGGTTAAATTGTAATTAAATGACAGAAGAAGAATGGATATATGTTACACAGACAAACTTAGGGTCTTAGACAACATCTAGGATAAAGATGCTCCAATATCATGGAAAGAGAAGGTCTCATAATTCATTCATGGCCTATAACAAATTGCAATTATCTATAATACTGAAAAATTGGTGTCCAAGATTCTTGGCATATGTTCTCCTTCATGAAGTATATGGAATTTAAAGCCATGATTAACTAAAAACAGTTAACAATAGACGCACTGGAGATGAAGATTGAATTGGATTGATTAGCAAAATTTATTCCTAAATAATTTTCACTGTGGGACTAAGGGATTGTTTTCATTCTTAATCTACTCCCGTCATAATAATTGGACCATCTGGGAAGAATTACACATTAATATCTGTAAAGAAGATTTTAAGAACGTGTGAATATTATCAAAGACATTTATAACATAACAGCAATAGGCTATGTCTACTAACATATTAAGGTAAATATTCTTCTGACATTTGTTTTACCCTATACCATATAATCAGCCTACACACACACAAAAAAAAAAAAAAAGGGTCTTCAGCATCCTTTATCCAAAGAAACCACTACATGACTACAAAAAATTAATTAACGAAAACAGCATCCCATTTTCCAACCCTCTTGCTTTGAATTTTATCTGAATTTAGCCCCCTACTTATTAACTCTACTTTGAACTTCCAAAATGAAGAAACGTGCCCAACTCAAATTATGCCAAAACAGCACCATTTTCAAACAGAATTGGGTTTTGGCATTGCCTCTACCCCAGTATGCTCTGTTTGGTGTAGTTTAAAGACAGGTTTTTTTAGTAACTTTTGATAAAAGTTGATGAAATGGGAGGTTGAAAAGTTCACGATCCCACAAAATATCTACACCAAACATGATGTGTACATGGAGAGACATAAACCTTACCTCCCGTATTTTCAATTTCTACGAACTAGAATTTCATGTTCTTACCTAATACATGTCACTGAATCCAAAATACACCTAAAAGATTTGCGGTCGAGGAATAATTGTACAGTATGATTAGTGAGAAAACCCACATTACCTTCTTGAGTGCAAGAGCGAGGCGTTTGCTGTCAAGCTTCCCAGAAGCCATTGAATCAAGATTATCTCTGGCAAACCTAAATGCATGATTTTGCAAAGCTGAAGGCATATCTGAAGCCCTCACACGCACATTCATACTATCATTCTGCTTTTTATGCTCGACATCCTTCTTCTTTTGTATCAAACTGTTCAAGAACTTGCTCCTTCTCTCCAATTCCTCCTCTGCTCCCTCCATTTTACACTTTCCTCATCAATTACACTTCAAACCCAGTAATAATTTTCTGATTTCTGTTAAAGTAAAGAGTATGAAGAAGAGTAATGGCGTATTTTCTTATTTTTATTTTCTTTTGAGGTGTTATTTTGCGTATGGACGAGGCAATCGTCGTTTGATACGGCGCTGAAGAACAAAAAAATTGATTTATTTGCGGGAAATTCGGACCATTTGGCGGGGTTTATGTTGAATTGTCAAATGCTTACCCGGCCAATTAACTGGAAAACAATTATTTTTGGAACCTTAATTGAAAAATAATTGAATACTTGTTTTTGATAATCTATTGTAACAAATTCAGATAAAAAGATGATAATTAGGAGAGTGTTTGGTAGGGATTAAAAATAGATTTTTTAGTAGATTGTGATAAAAGTTTTCTAAATGTGTTATTCAAAAATTGTAGGATTCATGAAAGATATGGTTAATATTGATTATTTCACTTTGACTTATATTAAAATCAGATTTTAATATAAACCATTTAGGTCTATATAATATTAGCTATTGTACAACTTTGCATTTTTAAGTTGCTTTTTTACTCAAAATTAAGCTTGGCGAGACATACTTTTAAAATTATCAAACGTCGTACTAACGGTAATTTATGTTGCTTATATTTTCAAATGAAGAATTTAGGGTTTATTTTGATTTACATGAATCATACTATCATTATGCGTTGAGTTTGAAACTAGAACAAATAATAAGAGACTAAAGATTATAGAGAAAGTTGCATCAATGATTGTTAATTTACATCATAATAAGTTGATCTTCAATTTTTTGTTCACCTATAAAGTGAAAAATAAATTATTGTTAGCTCCACATGGTTGATATAATGTGTAATTATCGCTTGCTTTAGCAATTAGTCTACTCGTAATTGTCTTGCGTCCGAACTAGTAAGTTAAGTGATTGCCAGTAAAAAAAAAAAAGGGTTTTCAAAATTAATTTTATGACGAAATCATTTTATATTATCGTTAATTACGTAAAAGCAATGGCATATCCAGGAAAATATTCGAGATGGGCTGACACACCAAAAAAAATAAAATAATAATAATAAAATCACTTTACTTAAATTTTTCTTTTTAATTAGCATTTGGGTTAGAGGGACAGGCTCTAGCACAACCGTGCCCATCCCTAGATCCACCACTGCGCAAATGTTTGTATATAAATTTATGTATACATTAAATGAAACAAATACTACCGTTTATGCCTATTCTTGAGATAAAATCTTAGTACCAATATTTATGTATCTACAATGTTGATTATTTTCAGAACAAAAATTAAAAAGGAAAAAAGAAAGCAGACAATGAATAATAGAAAGTGCAACATGAAATGAAAAGGACAGGAAAAACAGAGAAAATGCACGAGTAGAAGAACATAGTGGGGGAGACAAGCCTCGACAATCACGGCCAAAAGCAAAGAACACAGTCCTCATTCCACCCACGGCACCGATTCCCACCCCACAAGTATCTACAGATTTTTAATAGTTTCAACTTTTAAATTCAGTGGTCTGGTCAACACGATATTAAAATAGGTTACGATATTCAAGTCTCACCACAATTTATTTATAAATATTGTACATTTTGGAACACATTTTTCGTGACGAGAAAGACAGACCATACGGTCGTACAACTAGTTCAAAAATTGCTGATCGTACTATAGGAATTGGAAACATGTAAAATTTCTAATTTTTTAGTTTCGGGATACCAACTTTGCACTCTTTTTCCGAGCTTTAGATCATTTATATCCATATTATTTGATACATTTTGAAGGACTCATGGCGTATCACTCAACACAATTTTAGACGAAGCCCTCGTTTGGCCATATTAAATTTCATTTCATTTCTCTCTTTCTTATTTTAACTTACGTAATCTTTCATAAAATAATATTAAATGTAAATAAAAACTTTTTTTTTTCAACAACTCATTTTTAAAAAAAAAATACAGGTACATTTGGTTTGCATTTCTGTTTTTCGTTTTCAATTTTAAATTCATTTTTTGTTTTCTGTTTTAAGGAACTATTTTTGAATTATATAAAACGTGTTTGGTTTGTTATTTTGAAAAACGATTTCTCAAAATAAAAAACTAGAAAATGCGTTTGGTTTAAAATTTTTAGAAATTATTTTATGATATTTATTCAAAGCCTGTTTGGTACCCATTTTTTTTGAAAATGCATTTTTCTATTTCTTCTTTTCAACCACACATTCTTTATTAAAATAATATTACACGTAAATTAAAAACTTTTCCTTATTTTTCAACCACACATTTCCCATCAATTTACTATTCAAAAATGCATTTTTATATAAAAATATCTACCAAACACCCTCTCAATTAACTTGATTATTTAGTAAAACGTAATAATTTTATGTTAATATATTACCAGATAATATATATTTTAAACTTGATGAACTTACTATTTTTTATTGCTACAAAAATAAAATAATAAATAATAAATTTATAGACCAAAAATAGGAACCGTTTGAAAGAAAATAGCTAGTCCGTCCTTCATCCTTTTGGATGTATTTTACTGTCACTTGGACAATAAAAAAGGAAATAATAGTTTTTCTAAATTTTGATCAATGAAAAAAAAATAATGGAAATTTAAAAATGTTTTGTAGGTTTTAAAATTTTTATACTTCACTAAATTGTATCAGATTACAATATTTTATTTTAAAAGTACTAGTGAGCATTCACTAGGTAAAAATAATAGCGTATTTTGAGTGTTTTCTGTGTTTTAACTAAAAACACTCAAAACGGAAAAAAAATCATTTTGAATTTTCAATCATAAATTTTTCATTGTTTTCGAAAATTAAAAATAGAAAACAGCTTGAAAACGGGAAACCAAAAATAGCCTATTATTCCACCCATTTTCATTTCAAATAATGGGAGGCAAATGGGGCAAAACTATAGATTATTGCAAGTGGAAATTACACAAATACAGGTGTTTAAAGATGTATAAGGTTTAGTTAAGCACAAATTGTTATTAAATAAGAATTTAAAATTACCCTTCCTATCCTCTCCCTCTCTGTGTATCTCATTTTCTCTCTCACCTCTCTCAATTGTCGATTTGCTCTCTCTCTCTCTCTCTCTCTCTCTCTCTCATCAATTGAGACCACCGCAAACTCGTCGCTTGACGAAGACGATGACGCCTCTGCAATGCCCGATGAGAGACAATGTCGCCGTCGTGGTTGATGTTGCTTCTGCCTGTGTGACTAATTTTGCTTGTGTAAATCTAGTGTGCCGACGACGATTGAGGTGACAGGTTAGGGGGGTTTTTTTTTGTTGGATGGTAGTTGTGATGTGGTGGAGATGGAGGTGGTAGTAGGTGGCGATTTTATGTGGTGTTGGAGTGTTGAATTTTTTCATTTTGTTGGATGGTGGTTGTGATGTCGTTCTCTGACGGCATTGTAGTAGTTTCAGATCCCGCGTTGCAACGGTGGTGACAATGTGACGGTGATCGTTGCAGTCGCAACTCAGGTGTTACGACGAATCTTGTTTGGTTTTGAGTGTGGTGGATCTGGTGGTGAACTGGCGGTGACTAATGTGGTTAATAGGTGGCGATGGTGGTGAAATGAGAGTTGGAAGCTGCTTTGGAAGTGCAGCATTTGGATTTGGTGGCTGCGAGGGGGGTGGATCTGATGGCCGCGACGGGGGTGGAGATGGTGAGGCGGTGCTATTTGCGATGTTTGAGATTAGAAAGCTGGCTGTGACTGGGTGTTGGTTGGAAACGGTGGTTGTGGTAGTGGCGGAGATGGTGAAGTGGTAACGACGTTGCGGTGATGGGTTTTGTGGGGAGTTGGCTTTGTATGTGTTTTGTTGGTGGGGAGGTGGTGTTAGTTGCAGCGTTTGAGATGACGGTGCTGCCGAGAGATGGTGGTGGTGGTTTTGGCGGTGGGAGTTTTGTTGGTGATGTGGCTGGTGGTAGTCACAAGTGTTGGTGGTGGTCATAAGTGTTTTGATTGTTTGTAATCGTGAAATTGGCGTATGTGACTAACCAATTAGTTACATGTGACCAACTGTTTAAGTGTGATCCTAAAATTTGACAACCTGTGACCAATTAATTTGATTTCGAAATAATTTGTGACCTGTAAATTTTTTATTCGTGACCTCGAAATAATTTCTGACCTACAAAATTTTTGATTTGTGGTCTCGAAATAATTTATGACAAATTAATTTAATGATATGTGATCAAAAAATAAATCTGTGACCTGTAATTATGAAAGTAACAGTGACTTTCTTTTATTTAATTAATAAATATTTTCAATTAATTATATAGATACCTGAATTTGAATTTTTAAATTATTTATCTAATTTATGAATTGATGCAAACAACACACCTCATTTATGAATTTTTCCATTATTACAAAGATGATATGGCTACCTCAAGAATGGATGCTCGGTTTGAAATTGATCTCCTACTGTACCTTTCAAAATTTTCGGTCCATAGCCCAACTTTATACATATATTCAATTGGGTTCTAAAATGAATTATAACTCAATTGGAATAATGGGAGCCAAGCTATGACTGCTAACACTTGTGAAATAAATATTCGTGTATGTGGTGTTACAAATTTGTTTTGCGATAATTAAGCTATTGTAAATTTTGCTTTAAATCCAATTTTTAACGAGCTAACAAAGCATATTGAAATGAATTGTCACTCTATTATGAAAATTGTGTAAAAAATTACAATTTGTTGACCATTTGTTCAAAGTAATCAATAATCGAACGATATATTCATTAGAAACTTAACTATTGTCAAATTTCGAGAAATATTGTTCGAGTTGGACTCTCTAGATCCTTTGACACCAACTAGAGGATGGGGGGGGGGGGGGGGACAGAGTGAAGGGATTATGGATGGTAAGGTTTGTGAAAGATTCCATAGTCAAGTTTTAGATAATAATTAGCTCCTATTTGATTTAGATAAATATAAAAGAATTATGATGCTCAAACAGGGGCCTTTGATAGGTCCCTATGACACCTCAGCCCCTAATAAGAAATTTTAGCAGGGCTGAAAATAAAAATTTTAGCAGATATTGATAAAATGTATAATTGAAAAGTTGATAGAAGTTATAAGTCACATAAAATGTATAACTAAGAATAACTTTGAGGAAAATAAATTATTAAGAAATGAGGATGAAAAATTGATCTTAATATTAAATGTCTATTTCTATACTGTAGGGTAA